TGTTATTTACGGTGATGATGAGAACATGAGCTTTGTTTGGTACAAAGGTCTGGGAGTGCCTACTTGACATCAATTGAAAGAGACAGGTATTAACCTGTATGTTTGAAATACAGTGTGTTGTTATTGCTCTCAGATAAACAGAATTACCTCCTCTTAAAATCAAAGGTAATCTGTTTTACTTCAGTGAGATGTGGTGATGTCCACAGAGAACAAATCATTTTTGGCAAGAGGAGGAGGGATTTTCTTGGCAAGTTGGAAGAAGCATCAAAGGAAGAGAAGAGGGATGGGATGCAACACAACTGGTTTTAATCACACATAACAGTCAAGTTCCTCTGGACAGGCCTACTGTCTGATATACCATTGTAAACGCTCTGGGGAGCCTGGATTAAAAGAATGATAAAAACAAGTGAATGGCATAAAGGTACTCAGGGCACACAGTGGAATAACTGGCAAAGCTTTTGTCAGTTGGCATTATGCAGTGACATATTGCTTCCATTAATGTAGTGCCCCGGTACCATGACTTTGATTTTTAGTGGGTGTTTGGTTATCCAAGTCCATGCCTTTTTCTGGTTTTCACAGTCACAGCTCTTCAGATCACACTGCACTTCTGTTTGATATTAACAATGAAGATGCTGAATTGGTTATAACAAGGAGGCACTTTCATTCCTACTGTACAACCACCAGGGAGAGGGGAGACTCTCTTATTTCAAGCCAGTTCAGCTCTGAGGTGGTCAGAATTGCTCTGGAGGTGCCAGTTTCTTCTTCTTGCCTGTCAAAGAGCCTAAGGTGGCTGCTCCTTAGAACAGGCACACTGCAAGCTGCCTGAATGGATGGGATACGCCTGGAGAAAAAGAGCTTGGGTCAATACTTCATGACAGGACTGTTCCTCTTGAAATGACTGTTTCCTCTGGAAATTGCTGACTTGTTTCACTAAATTTGGGGGCAGGAAATATACTGATTTTACTAGGGTATTCTGTAGGAAACTAATGTTTCACTTCAACTATTACAATACTATATAATGTATTATATTATCATGTCACATAACATGTCAGTTTATATAAACATCCAAACAAGAAAGTCAAACTAAAAATATTTGATATGATCATTTCAGTATTTCTGAAACAAAATATTTTAGAACATCCATTGAGCAATATGTTTCAAAATGATGGCTCTCTCTTCCAATTAGGAATGAAAGGACATTTGTAATGTCTGAGTTGCCTTCAGAACACGAACAGCTTGAGCTTTGATGGTTGCTGGAGCTGCACAGTTGGGATCGCTGTTCAGACTGCTGTAATAATTGCTTCCTTACATTTTGTTTGGGTTGCAGTAGCATTTGGGGGCTACTGTCAGGGCTTGAGGATCTCTTTGGCAAGGAACCTCACATTCATATAATAAAGATAATACTTGCCTTTCAGTCACACAGAACGGAAGCAAGCACTGGACCTGGTGCGGGGAAACCAAGCATTACCAAGAGCTTTGGTGGTGACATGGCAGAAGTGGGCTTTACTGCACTTTGGCTAAGCATTTTACTTGAGTAGTGGTTGCCTGGAAGAAACATCTGATTGAAGGACTAATTGGGTATTTCACCAATTAACCTGTCGGTGGTGAATGAGGGCTTGAGCTTGAAGGACCCTGAATGTTCTGTGAACCTCGCCTCAGCCAGGGTCTTGATCTTGGATTAAATTTCTGGTAACGTTGAGATTGGGAACAAGTCTTAAATTAGCACCAAACAAATGGGATTCAAACTCCTGCTGCAATCTGATGAGCTAAAGACTGCTTTAAATGCATGGTTTAAATAATCTGAAAGTTGAGGCGGAGCAACTGAGTTGATTATCCAGTCTTTGAACACCAAAGAGCAACTGATACATAGATGATTTCTGAGGAAGATCTTCTGAATGAAATTTGTGATTCATTATTATTATTATTATATACTATGGTAAAGTCCACAGAGCCCAAAACTTTTAAGCCGAGAATGGCCATTACACAAATTCATGAACATTTAAAGGTGGCCTTCACTGGTTGACTGGGAGTTCTTGAATTAAAATATACCTTGCAAAAGGAGGAAATCAAAATATTATTCAGTCTGCAGCAATCTCATGCATTTAAGCCCCTGAAGGGCTTGTGTTTTTTTATTCTTGAGGTTCATTATGTCACCAAAAAAGCTTTAATATTTTACTGTGGAAGCAACATAGCCATGAAACATTAATTCCCAGGAATGTGGGAACCATGAAATATGGGGTTTTCTACTAAATTAAGATTTTACTTGTCTCTGTTCTCACATAGTTAAGGGAACCTATTTTCATTATATGTTTATGTATATGCATTCTGGAAATTTAAATAGGAAAGATGTACAAAATATGGGAAGAACACTTTCACTTTGAAAAACATATTTCACTGATAACAATACCAGTCATTTATATTCTAGCTTTCATCCTAAACCACTTTACATTCTGTATCCATCTTGGAACCACGTCTCTCATTACTGAACTGCACCCACTCTGGTGTGTAAGTGAACAGCTGATATATTCTGCCCTGTGAGATGTGGCAGCTGTTTAGATTTGTATAAAATTGTTTACTTCCCTATTTCCACAATGCCATTCTCTCACTATTGTAGTGACCAACACCATTCAGATATGCCTGGCACAGACACAATTGTACTAGGATCTCCAGCAGTCCCCAAGTATTCTGCACCATAGCAGATATCTCTGTCTGGAAGAAACAATGGTGAAGGACAACTTAATTTGTAATCCATGTAAAGGCTTTTTAACATTCTCCTGTTATTGCTAACCAGTGTTACTAACTATAGGACTGATGCTTCTTTCCTGTAAAAGAAATGACTGGGTTTCCTTCAGATATCTGCTCATGTGCACACAAAGACCACACCAGCTTTTAGCAGCCTCGGCAGAATGAAAACATTGTAGTGGCTTAAAGGGAATGTGAAGCACTGAGTTTTGGGGACAATTCCAGAATCTAAGTGTTCATCTAGGGTTTTTAACAATGCTATATACTAAATTCACATCCACTACCAGTTGACTAGAATGGAAGAATTAGCCAAAACATTCCAGAAGCATCTGTGTCATGGGAACCATAGGTTTCTAGGTTATATGACACGCCAGAATATTCACCAAATCACCAGGGTTGTTTTCCTTAATGCTACAATTAGCGATGGCACATTAAGAGAACAATTACTCCATAAGATTTGATGGCAAGAAGCCCTCTGCCATAAATTGGAAATTCTCAACATATGCAACCATATTGCTAGAGAAGATGAGTTATGCAATTAAAACCAAAACTGGAGATTTGTTATCAAAGGATGGCAAAGTGTACTAAAATCCAGCTGAGAGGTTCCCTGATCTCGTTATCTTCAGGCTTCTATGTGAGTTAATCTAACACAGATGACAATATTTGGCACAGACAATTGTGCCTACAGTCATGTGGAGGATGTTTTATAGAACCCCTTTCCATCAGAAGATGGAGGTTTGACATAATGCAACTTTTTAAAAAGTCTGATAAGTTTTGCCAGAATTGCATTACAGGGGCATAAAACATGATAAAAATTCTGACAGAGTCAGAACAGTCCATTTTAACGTTATCATTAATTTCTAAAATTTTTAACAAGCCATATTTGATTTTCATTTTACTACATGTAATAATGTTTTAAGTGGAAATTATTTTAAAAGTTGAAATCAAAAGAAACATTTGATTTTGTCTGAATGAAAAATTTTAATCAGCTTGGAAAAGTCTGTGGTTGTGTGTTTTTCCTTCATAAATAATTTCAAAATTGTCTCTTCTTGTCCTCATTCAGAATGAAGCAGAATTTCAAATTCTGATTTTTTTTGCAAAATGAACTTCCATCCTCCCACAGTACTTTCTGCACCTATATGAAGAGGACAAGAAGCTCAATGTGTAATTTCTGTGAGCCTTAAGGAGATGGTATGTGTGTTGGTATTTTCAAATCCAGGCTTATACAGCTGCTGTTTGAATATAAATCATAGATGCTTTTGGGTTACACTAACACCCTCTGCAGTTCAGTACAGTTGTTAATTAATACAATACTGTATTAGTTCTTCTTACAATCTTACTATTAACACCCCATGAAATCCCATTAGCTCTGCATATGGTGCCAGACTTGTTCTGAATGTGGGAAAGAAAGAAATTTACAGTGGTATGAATAATAAAAAGAAGCTTTCAAGTGGTTTCCACTATGAACATTTTGAAAAAATATTTTCCAGAATGTAATTTGTGGGGCAATCTTTTCACAAAATTTCAATGCAAACATGCATATATTTGTCATCTAAGTATTCCCCTGGAGTGCAAAAACCCTTATGCACTACTATTGTTCTATGGCAGAAACATCAGGAAGATAAAGTAGTTCCTAGAAATGGAAAATTAACCAGGTTGTCTTACTGTCCAAACTGACAGAAATGCAAAAAAATAAATAAACTTCATAGCTGATGCCAACAAATGGATAAAACTTTCCTTACATTTTGGTTTAAATATTTTAAAGTACAGATAGTGATGACAGTCAAAATTTGGGTTAGGTTTTCCAGAAGTTACTTGAATTTCCTGCTTCAATGATCTGAGAGATCCTTCTTAAATTCCAAGAAGATCTAAGTGCCATAGTAAAAACCAGGCTTATTTGTTAACACCTCATACAGAACACTCCAAAATGTATTAGCCACTGCAGAAACTTCAGACCTAATTATTTTCTATTAGTTGAGTTTTGTCCAGTATTGACTCCTTAATGAAAGAGAGATCTGACAAGGAGGTGTTAGAAAGGCTTTTAAAAATGGAGAGAATGATGAAGCAGGCAGGATTAAGAAGCAGACTATTCCCTGAAGAAGCTGGCTTAATTGTAATTCTCTCCCAATCCTTTAGGAGTTGCTGCCCTAGAGTTGTAGTAGTAGCAGTGCATGGTTAGAAGGATTCTAGTAGATGCTTTTCTCCTTCCCAGTCCTGCGGTTCATCCATAGTCCAGCCTCTGCAGTCTCACTATGCAATCAGGAATGGCCAGGGCCTTTCTGCATGGCCAACATCCAGACAGGGACACACTGCTCAGGAAATCCCTCCTGCCTCTCCTCTCGTAGGATGGTGAGTCCACTCATTTCAATGAGGCTGTGGAGGATGTTCAGGTCTCGGATCACACTACTATCCAGACAATCCAGGATACAGCCCTCCCTGGCTACATTGTCCTTGAGAATGATAACACCATTATCCTTCAAGCCACTCTGGCACCGGACGAGAAACTCCAGGAGATCTTTATCTGTCAGATATCCTACAGGTGAAAAGATGGAAAATAGATCACTATTAACTGTTCAGACAGACTCCCCCTGTACACATCAGAATGGTGCCTTGGTCTGAGTCTCCACACCCTCTTTATTGCAGGAGAAATTCTACTCCTGCCAGATTTAATTGTGAAATCTTGGGCAAATCAATGAGATCAACAACAGTTACAAACTCAAATCAATATTTAGGATCCATATTAGCAGTAGCAACAGATGTGGACAGAAGTCAATGGGAATAGTGGAGAAAATACTGGGTGCTGAAGGGTTCTTTAATCTGGTGGTTAAAGTCATAATAAGAATCAGTGGCAGGAAGCTGGAGCCAAACAAATTCATACTGGAAATAAGTGACAACTGTTTAACAGTGTAAGTAATTACCCATTGGAAACTACCAACAGAAGTGGTGTTTACCACCTCTTGAAGTCCTCAAATCAAGCGTGGTTGGATTTCTCAAGATATGTTTTAATTGAAGACAAACTACTGGCTCAGTACAAGGGTAAAGGAATGAATATAACAGCTTGTGACAGAGTAGGTCAAACCAGATAATCTAACAGTGCCTTCTGTCTTTTAATGCTACAAATCTGTATACAACTTTGTGTACCTTTATGTATCCATCAAAGAAGTTCTGGATCAAAGATCCAGTGAGGAATGCAAGACCTTCCAAACTGCCAAATAAACTCTTTGTATTACCACATACTGTTGTTGTTCTGCATATACCATATACATTTAAAAACAGTACTTTTTTCAATATGTTATTGAGATTGTGTTTTTTATCCTTCCTTCTCAAAGATCAATACTTCTGTTATGTTGAGATCAGTAGTGAAAGGCTCAGAGAAGAGCAAAATGAGAACTCTCACATGTGAAACATTGAAAATGAATTAACAAGGACAGGTGGTCAGAAACTGAATGAAAAACTTGAAAAAAACAATCATTTGCATTTTCTAGTCAAAATATTTAGTTTTCTTGATGGAAGAATTAAACTCTTATAAATGGAAGTTGTCATTTCAAAACCACATTTTGACATAGCATGTCAGGTTTCTTTAACCACCTCCCAAAAAAAAAAAGAAGAAAAAAATCCCCAAAGCCTAAAGCTGAATACCTTTCAAGTTGAAGGAAAATGATAATTTCTATATAAAATGTAAACCTGAATTATTATTTTTTCATAAAATAACAGCCTGGGCTCATATACTTATGCATATATAAGACACATCAAGATTGCATCAGCAAGATTCATTGAAGCTTTTGAACACTTAATTTCGCATTTAATGCTTTAATTTAATTAAAGCTCTCCTAGCTTTTAGCCTAGTTTCCTAAGAAAATGAGACTTTGACAGTTTTGCTCTCTACCAGACAGTCCTGCCCTCGCTCCACGAAAAAGCTTTGAGCTTGTTGGCATATTTCAGCCAAATTCAAGACAGGGGTAGAAGTTTGATTAATACTTAAGATCACTACATATTTCATTGAAATGGATGGAGGAAGGAGATTCAGATCTGTGTCTATGCTAACGGAAAGGTATATGCACCCTTTGTTAGCAGCCACATAGCTGATCACCACTGCCTCAGACAAGCCTTAGCTCATTCAGTCTCACATTGACTTGGATTTGCTCAAAAGATGAAGCGGGAGCTACATTTACTGCAATGACTGGTTATTCAAGAAAAGCAAAATACAAGGGAAAATGATACTGTTCTGAAGCAATTTGCTTGTACAGCTATAAATACCTGTTCTAAGCAGCTCAGTTTCATTACTTTTTAAGACTATGTGTAGAGGACAAATAAGCATTCCTGAAAAAAACCGTCTCCTGTGCTAATCTCTCTAACTTTATCTTTCTTTTTGCCTAACAAGAAACTGTCTCCAGGGTTTTGGAGAGAAGGAGTTGTTCAGGCCTTCTCTTGTGCTTTAGAATAATGACTTCTGCCAGCTCAAACTGTACTATGGACACTTAGGTTCACAGATTAGGAGAAAACCTTCTTTCTGGAAGGACAGTTAGGCAATGCAGCAGGTTTTCTAGAAAAAAATAAGAACATTTTTTTTGTGTGTGTGTGAGGAACATAGCCCACATTATCTGATCACCAGTCTGCTGCTCTTAATGCTGCAGGGCATTCACTGGGGTAGCTGCAGGAGAAGCAGCAGATATTTTTTATATGAGGGGGTACTGTGGGGCATAGCTAAGTGAACCTGTTTGATAAGCGTCAGTGCATGTATAAGACATGATCTGGTTTACAGGTATTGGTGATTTCACTATGGCTTTTTTCAGATGGTTTCCTGAAATACCTCCAAGTCTGGATAATCAACAGATTCAGAAATCCCTGATCACAGGTGAGGCCAACTCCGTGTATCTGTCTGCAGCACTGGCAACTAAGAAGGAGGATTCCTGCTCAAGAAAACCCATATATAAGGCCTACTCCTCAGCTGCACCTTAGCAGGCTGACTACTCTCCAAGAACATGTACCTTCCTCCAGTACGTTACCTGAAAAAACCCAACTTGATTTGTACCTACTGTGCATGTGGCTGGGGATAACTCTCAGAAGTCTCTTGTGAGATTTTAGGAAGCAGTCCCAAAGATTTGAGAACCTCCTTTTACAGCTGCACCATTCTTTTAACATACACTTTAGCACAGGCTGTATAGTTCTCTGAGATGCTGGGCTGGATGAATCATGCTGAACTAACCTGAAACCCACTGAATCCAGATGACATCATATCTTTGTGGGGCTGGAGTGAATTCCTGGAGGCTTTTGCAATAATACATCTCTACTCTGTCCTCTTTGCCCTGCAGGTAGTTTGGGACCTCAGCCAGGAAATTCTCCATCATATCCACCAGTTCCACACTCTTGAAAACTGGTAATAGGACATGCTTGCTGATACGACCTATCCCAGAGCCGCAGTCCAGGGCGCGGTTGGTGCCAGCTTTCCCTGCCCCCTGTGGGATACAAGAAAATAATTTGAAATCTGAAAAATACCACCTGAAAGATCATAGCAACTGTGTTACCCGCTATGGCCATTAGTCCACCAAGCCTAGTGCCTTGTCTCCTTATTTGTGCAGGGCTGTTGCAAGATTGGTAAGAACCTGGGACAGTATCAATACAGCTTTGGGTACTTATGTGTGAGCTGAGCTGGGCTGCTATGTTCCCAGGTTGTTGTTGATGGGACTTCCTCATTGCAGCCCGGCATTTATTGCTGTACAGTAAGTTTTTGCTTGGTATAATAAGACACATAATTTTTCACAAGCTCCTAGCTTTCTCAGAAGATCTGCTGGTCTTTGTAAAGTCCTTGCAACTTCATCTGTCAAATATTCATACGTCACAGCCAACTATGTGGCTAGATAAGCCTCATTCTGAGCCCTGTAAAGGCCTAACAAAAAGGTAAGCATATACCAAATACTGCATGCAAGAAGTAACTTCTGCAGCACAGAACTCCCAAGGTGCCTGTGGACATCTCTGCAGATACACAGCATCCTTGGGATCAGAGTGCAGTTTTCAAAACAAGCTGTGTTTGAACGAAGATCTTGGAGTTGTAGGTAACTTACGACAACTCAAAAAGTTTGGACTGGAGCATATACAGAATTTCTTTTTTAGGCATAGAGACAAGAAAGTTGATTGAGTAGATTTTGCTTAACTGTTCTTTTTTTCTTTATAAATATCACCTCTGGACAGAGATCAGACATGAAAAAATGTGGCAGAAAGGCTACGTCTATGAGAAAATGAGTCACTGTAAAAGCAGTTTTATAATGAAAGCTGTATTTCACCCCTAAAGCTTCCACTCTAGCTATAAAAAGGCCCTTAAGAGCTTGCTGCTGTTCTGTAAAACAGAAATTTTAAGTCTGTACATGCACTGACTGTGGGATTGGAGCTCCCCTGGCCAAAGTTATCTGTTAAACAAATATATTAAAAGCAAATGTAAACACCTTTTCCCTGTCCCCTGGAACTGAGTGTTGAAGTGAAAGCTATGAGCTGAAGTCCCTGCTGCAACTTCACTGCTCTTAAAGGAAATAAGCCCAGGAAGAGTCTTGCTCTTCCTGCTTATTGGGAGACCTCCTCTGTAATGACCAAGCATAAATCACATAACTCACCGCTTTTTTGGCCTTACTTCAGTGGGTAATTCAGTAGATTATTAAGGTCAAAGGACAGTACCGTCAATAACATGACTGTGAATAGTCCGGCTGAGCATCTGGTTACATAGGGTAACTGTAGAAAGAGCACAAGGAACTCAAAGGCTCTCACCAGTCTCCAGGGCTGCTGGTCCCAATTTGTATACCTAGGAAGATTAATCTCCCAATGTGTGCAAGAGTCCACAAGCCTTCAACCCTATGGGACTCCGGAGACTACCTGTTTGTAGTTAGCCAGAAAATATGAGCCATTCTTCATCCACACGCTGCACTTAGGAGCATGTGGCTTTTACTGAGGACCAGACTAAGTTGTAACAAGGAGTTCATGAAAGGAGAAGGAACTGTGTCTTGGATCTTTACAAGGTGGATTTCCATATTGTTTGCTGGCAGATACATACAGGCCTACACTGATATGATTAAGTAAAAATCTTTGAGAAAGCTGGTAAGAAAACCAGGATGATTTACCAAAACAACTAACAGAATTCAACAAAAAGCCATATAACTTCTTTGACATTTGTGTTTCAGAGAACCTATAGTCACAGTACTTTACTCAAAACAGGGAATTCATCTCCCATGATGCGTCATGGCAAGGACCTCTGATGACACATCTCCATTTGCCATCGAGAAGAAGGAAAGGGAACAATCATGGGAGATGAAGCTTGATCCCACACTTTGCTGAAAGGGAGCAAGAGCATCAGGCAGTCAGTTGAGAAGCCCTGTGAAGCACCACGGCTCCATTTGTAATGAAAATGTTGACATAATTCCATGTTCAGCTAATATATTTTCAGTTTGGAAGTGCTCAGAGCTTTGACAGGGTATTAACATTTTCTTTGGAAGGCAATCATTTTCCCAAAAGCCTAATTGAGTTGAAAATCAGACTCCTTATTTAAAAAAATAGTGTAAGTGAAAATTTTAAGCCAGAACAGGCTTCAAAATTTAAGATTGACTGCTCCTCTGATTACCTGCTTCCCATTACTCAGAATCACTATCATTTAGGACACATACACACCCAAAAATTCTTCTGTAAAGCTAAATAGGACACTCACAAATTTCCTTAGGGATAAAAGAGCTGTGGAATATGTTCCTGATGCTACTTCAGGTCTTGGAAGGGCAGGAAGGCAGTGTAGATATGTAGGATAAAAAAGAAATCAGAGTTCAAGAAATAGATAAAAATCACAGTGGTTTTCTTTCTAAATTTAAAAAAAAAAAAAATCAGGTTTTCAACATCTCTTCCATCCCCCCTAATCAAACAGGAGAAAAATCACTTTCGAGAAGCTTTTCATTCAGCAAGTAACAAATCAGGTGGGTGAACTGAGGGCAAGAAAAGGAGAAAGGGTTTAGGGCAGAAAGGGACCTATAAAGCTAATATAATCTCCATCTGTAGTATTTCACACACCTATAGCTCACAACTGCTCCTGAATTAATGGTTTCTTTGTTATCTTTATTTCCTTTCTTACACATTACCTCTGGATTAGGCACTTGAAAACACAGTGTCTATGTGGACATCAAGGCTTTAACTGGCATTAATACATTGCCATAAATATGCAGTGCTATAACTCTGCTGATAACCCTTCAAGTATGACTGTACCTAAGACAGCCTATAGCTTGTCTGTACAGCACTGTTGGCTCAAGTAGTGTTGCTCTTGGTTTGAGTTCTGCCCACACACACATAAAACCTCTTAACTTGAGCACAGTGGCACTTTTAACTCAGTTTGACTCGCCTGGGAAGGAGACAGACTAAAATGTAAGTGAAGTCCTTAGTTCTTTCTGTAATTCCTTCCATGTGCCCAGGCAAGATAAATTCTCCAATGGTAAAGAAATCTGTGGCTCATTTTACAGTGGTGCTAAGAATCATGCTAAGAAATGCCATACATGAAGGTATGCAACATCAGTCATGTAAGGGAAATGTCATTGTGTGGCATTTCCACACCAGCCAAACTAACTCAGGAGGGGTAATTTGAGTGGAACTGGGCAACTGTTTTTTAAGAAGCACAAGTTTTGCCAGAAAATAAAGTTTTGGAAGAATAAAACTCTCTGTGAAATTGATATTTCAAAGCTAGAGAATAGTTATAGCCAAAAAACATGGGAAAGAATGTTGAAAATGTCAAGATACTTCTTTTTCACGACTTTCAAGGAAAAAAAATAACTTGTCAACTTTTCATTTCTAAACAGCATTTTTCATTCTGGAACTGACATATCTTGAAAACAAAGGGAAAAGTTTTTCAGAGAGTAAAACACTAAAAAAAAATTAAGTGAAATATGTTAAGTTGATCTGAAACTAATTTTCCTATTTTCTAATTTTGTTAAACCTCTCCTTAAAAAAGAAAGTATAGTTTATATTAGGCTGAAGCAAATTGCTTTTTTCTATCTTGATCACCTTATTGGAAATAAAATTATTCATAGAGCCATAAACTTGTGAAGACATAACTCAAATTAGCTTTACAATAAAGTCACTACTACAGAAAGCCAGTAAATATCTGTATCTGGTCAAGTAGAATTCAAATTGCAGTAGTAAGAAAGGAAAATAAACCATAAGTAACATAACCAATTGACTGTATCTCAACAGAGGACAGGCTTTAACAAACTAAATCAGAACTAGCAAAACATGCAGATTCCTTTCTGTTCCTTTTTTTTTTTCCTTGTTTGATCTTGGCCATTCAGAGTATCCTTTCTATCCCTGGCTAATAATAGGAGTAGAAACTCTGCTCTGGAGTATTTTGTATCTGTCATCACACCTGATGCATTGGGTATGATTTCTCTTTGGCATGTGAACCTCTGCTACAGACTGTACTTCTTTCCTTTTTGGGTGTTGGAGATGAGAAAGCGTAACAGCGTGATATAAACCTGCCGTTCAGGAAACTGAATCTATATGATGTCTAGGAAGCGTGAAATCTTTCCCTGAGTATGTGCTTACGCACCACTTGAATTCTATGAATGTCCTTAAAACAAGACATAAGTAAAATTTAAGGAATATGGCTTGAGCTGGCTCTAGGTTTACGAGTTGCATTTCATTTTTTTCTGAAAATGCCATTTTACCATCAGGTTCAGCTGCGTTGCTGAACTACTTCTGTATTTTCTTATTTTATGTTTGTAGAAAGCCTGATACACTGAGGCTTTGAAATGCTGTGAAGCCTTTTTGCATTAGCATTAATACAAATGACCGCTAATAAAAAAATGTAGCTGTTCACTTGTGTTTTGGTCGTTCACTGCCCCAAAAGCCTTCCTCTATCAGGTACCGCAAACTTTGCCATCAGTTGCCCTTTACTGCTATAAAGGATTTCTATCTATTGTTAAGCCACACTCATTTTCCATCCCAATCCATTTAAACTGTGCCCTTTTTTATACACAACATCTAATTAATCTATTGAGCTTTTTTCCCACAGTAGATCATTAAGACTAAAAAAAGGTCATCTGTCTATCCCAAATTTGTACATTTGAGCAGAAAATGAAAGATCTGTGGTAGCATTATACAGAACTAGTAATTTTGTGAGCAGGAGAACTTACAGCATTTGTTTTCCTGTAGCTTTGTGGATTCTTTAGCATCTAATACTGTTGAGTTAATTTAATGGGCTTTTCTCCTGGGAAGTGGGAAGGGCAGTCAGAAAACCGTCAGGCCACACTTTCAAAGATTTGCAGATTCCCGAAGACAAATTTAGGTATCAACAGGATTTTCAGAAACCTAAGTGCCAAAGTGATATTGCTATTGTAGGTGCTTTTAAAATCCCATTTGGCATCTCTTTGCATCTCAGGTCAAAGCAGATCTTTGAAGATGTTTACAGACCTTTAGAAATGTGCCTGCAAAGGACCCTAGTAACACTGGAATGTTCAAGAAAAAAGTATTTTTCCTAATGGGTAGCTTATTCTATATACTCGTAATGTTTGGAGGAGGGAGGCCACAGGGAGGGCTGGGTTTTGTTGCAGCATTCTCAGAAATATCTATAAATAGGCAAAACAGAAACTTGGCATTTAGTCTCAGCTACTTTCCCAAATGGACTGCAGGAATTTGCACAGACAAATCTCCCACTGAAGCCAGCAAGGATTTTATCATGAAAGGTCCCAGTGCTGCACTGAGAATTAATGTCCCACCCAAACACAGCTATAATAACTCCTTGCACAATCCTCTTTGAAGCTTTGGAGCATAAGAAAAGGATGCAAAACAGGTAAATAATTACATATGGCCAGGCAAAATGTGTATTCATGATGATGCATGACCTGGCAGAATACATTACTAGACTCAATGACAGTCAGTTAAGACCTGTGACTGCAAATCAAATATGACGTATGGTGCCATTTAAAATATACGTGATCGGGCACAGTGCATGTAATTTATGACACATCACCACTGTTTCTTGCAGAAGATGGGATTAAATGACTCACCCCAACAAACTTCCTGAGAAACTCTCTGGAGGATTCAATGTCTATTTTGGAGAGCTCAATGTAGTCTCCCATCATGCCCTCTTCTGTGGCTGGCACCTCCTGGTAGAAGTGTTTGGCCCTGGCGTAGAACTGCATCTCCCCATTGATAACTTGACTTGTCAAAGCGTAAAGTTTCACTGCAAGCAGATAAATCACTATTTTATTGTTAATGACAGATATTTCTGGTTTAGTTTATTGCTCTGGAGGCACGATGGTCAAGATCTATAAACTTAAGTTGAGCCTTCAAATCACCAAACCTCTGTTTCTAAAGCAAAGGTGGAAGGAAAGGTGTTGGATTTAATCCTGCAAGACCCTGAAGGGACACAGCCCCCCTTGGACAAATTCAGTGCCTCCCAGGCTCAGACATTGTTTTTGTCATCACACTATGTTTTCACATCAGTGAAAAATCCTTTCGAATTTGAAGTGAACATGCATGCCAAAGAGAGCAAGGGGTTTGATCTGCTCCCAGAAAAGTTGTGGGTAGCATTTATTGCTATGCAGGGTCATCATTTCCGTGATCACAAACCTAACTGTTCTGCAGATTTCCATATATGCTTTCTAGCCATTGACAGCTGCACGGAGAGTGCACCAAGAAGAGGGTGCATGAATGAGGCACTTGCACTGGTTTATTTTTAGTGATACTGTACAGTCTGTGGCATTGCAAGTAAGCTGAACCAAAGAGCAGATGGTAGTCTCAGACCTAAATGAGTGTACAGTGGGGGAGACAATTTCGAAGAGACAGTCCTAAGTTTTCATGTATCACAGATCAAAGAGCGAGATAGTCAGTGGGTGATATACTGGAAAGTTCCTGTGTGCCAGAGGCTTGGATGTTTCTTTTCAATGCTTGGCTATTTTGCTGGTAATATACAGCAATCATAAGTTTGAAGCTGTTTTATTAAAACCTGTGAGCTTTGCTGGGTAAAGGGCTATTTTCCCCTATTCTTTAAAAAACTGAGGTCTATCCTCCACATCCTGGCTTTTGCTATACTCGATGTGCATCAGTATATCAAAAGTAGTTATGTTTTGCAGCTCAGAAGTTTGGATTGAGGCAGGCCATAGACAGTGTGCTCAGAAACCAGCACCTCTTACTATCTCATGCACACATACAGGTGTCCAGGCATTTTCCTGTGTGTACGACACACAGCTCTTCCCAGTCAGACATTCCAAAGACAACACAACCACAAGCCTGTCTACGAAAGCTAAGCAATAAGGAAGGATGGAGTCACACTGGGAACAAGTCTTTGCGAGCACCACCTTGCAGTGTGAGACCAGCTCTGCTGCAGATTCCCGGCGTGCTCAAGGAACTGGAAATGATCCAGCAGCAAACACCTTTTGGGTTAATAACAACAGAAAGGGAGAGCTCGCTGCTGGCTGCATACGCAGAAGGACCAGGGAGCAGTGCTTTGTAGCTGCATCTTTAAAATTCCACGGGTGCACTGCTGGTTGCCGCTAGGAAGGGTCTGAATGGGCTATGCCTTGCTTACACCGGCTGGAGAACAGGAATTATGCCCTCTACGCAGAGGATGATAGTTAGGCCAGAGGCCCTGAATATAAGCCTGGAATGTATTTATTGAGGGCAAGCAAGCTCAGCAGGGAATGATAAGTGTGTGCCTGCCCATCCTCAGCAGGAGAATGACATTTTGGAGGCAAATGAGGTGGGGGCAAAGGAAGTAGGATGGGGAATAATTACCACCAAGGACCACTCGGAAGAGAATAGTGCTATTGGGTTACACATAAGCAGCATGCCCGGCATATCCTTCATCCAACAAAAGCAGCATTACCAGCCCCTCCTGTCATCACCTGCTTAAGTCAACTGCCGAACGGATACTATTAAAGCTTTAATCCATTACACATTTATGTTATGCCTGAGAAATTTATACCACAAGAAGCACTGAGCCCAGCAAGGGTCAAACCTGGGAGTTTTACACACTTCACTGATTATATTCACATACTCAGAAGAAACCATTTAGCTGAAGGAATTAATAGGAAGGGGGCAGCAGCCAATCCCCAGCACAACTTGGCCAGGGTGGCTCCCAGAGCCTGGGAAAAAGACTCCACTGGTGGCTGTGATTCCTCCAGTAAACAATCTCCATCTTCCCCCGGGAGTGGCACCATCTCGTTTTCTCTGTGTCTCTTTTTTCTCCATTTTAGATGCCGGCCTGTCTGGTGAACAGAACTGAATCCCTGCATGTTGGCTTTGCAAGATCTTCCATATAAGAGTCCAGTCATGATTTCTAGAGCTTGTTTAATGGACCTATCAAGGGACAGTGATATATCCCGTTCTGCTATATTGAAGGGAGAGGCATGTACAGGCTGGCTGTACACTAGGACAGGGTGTTGCAGGCAGCTGGCAGCATGAACAACAAATATTCAGAGTCCTTCTACTCAAAACATGAGCTTGACCCGAGGCAACACATGGGGACGATATGCTGTTCAGGATATCAGATCTGTAGTGTGTGCTCTCAGATTTCTCACTCAGAACCAGTATCAGGCTCGCAGAATGCCTGCCAGGACTTGCATGCGTATACCAGCTGACTGGGCTCCTCCTGGGCCAGCTGGGGCCCCAGAGCCCTGCCTTACGTGCTGGCATCCGAAACCAGCTCTGGTCTCAGCATCCACAGTTTTCTCTACCCATCAAACTTTGCAAAGATCTTTTTATGCAAGTCCCCCACCTAAGGGCATGCAAGGACATTGGCTAACATAAAGCATGGCACTGTACCCAAAGTCTTCTGTGGACCCACAGAGTCTCACTCATGCAGTACGCGATCTATACAGATGATTGCCACCTCTCGCTCCCTCAGTATTACTCCTCCCTCTCATAAATTTGCAACAGTGCCAACTCTCCTGATCCACAACCCAATTTTCCAGACACAGCCAATCAACCTCACCTCTGATCTGCCTCACAGCTGTGCCTGGCATGCAGGCTCCAGCAGCAGGACCAGAGGGAGAGGGAGGTTTGCCAGCTTGCAGGAATCTACCCCAGAAGAGAAGTGCAAGGAGGCACACATGTCCTTGGTGGCAGTTAGCGTTGAGCTCTGCTCCAGCGCGCCTCCTCCTCATCACAGGACTTGGATAGCCAGAGGCATCTCCCTTTCCATGACCCATGTGGGACTATCTCATGCATCAGGAAAGGAAATACTTGTGAGGTCTGTTACAGATACACAGCCTGACTTCAATGAACTTTGTAAAGTAGGGCATAGGCAGGATAGGATGATGAGGCTGCAAGTCTCTCAGAGACTGGCTGGGGGGGAGCAGCTGTCTTTCACAGACAAGGTTTTCAGTGTTAAGGCAGGTGACTTGTAAGGTTTAAGGTTAGAAATGTGTTTTTAGTAAAGTAAGAAGAAACTTTCTTCATGGCACACTTGGTCTCTCAGCTGAATCTGCTGGCAAGTCCCCCAAGTGGAGATGGCTAAAACAAACCCAATGCAAAAGCAGGCTGAGAACAGGAACTGGCTCCCTAAAGATCACTCAACAGTCACGAGATGTTAATAATTTTCAGTCACGGCAAACACAGTCTGGGTGCATTGACCAACAGCTCAATGCCAAACCCTGGACTAGACAGAGAGTATCTACCTAAGCCCTTTTGCCCTGAAAGTCCAAAATATTATCTCTAATTTATGGATCAGTTAAAAATTCTGTTTCTCAGTGCATCTGATCTAAAACTCTAGAGAAATGGACCATTTAATATGTAAGACCGGGCGCAATCCCAACCTGCAGTAGGCTGTCTTACAGTTCTTGGTTGCAGGGTTTACTCAGCTAAATTTCCCTGGCAGAAGTAAATGTTGCAAGTAATTTTTTTGAAGTTTTTATTTGTGAACATTATTTTGTGGCTCCAACTGCTTTCTGCAAGATACTGAACTAATTCCAGTTTGGCTGAGTATTCCCTTTTAAATGCAACATCTGCTTTGTGCATCAGTTGAAGAATAGTTATCTGGATGCAGGGTAGAATTCACCTCTCTACTGTGGTCTGAGCACCATTTAAATTCTGTTTTATAGAGGATGAACATCAGCCCACCCCCAAAGCAGATTTTACTTACAGACACGCGCCTCACACACGGGAATATTTGTCTCTATGGACCAATCAGCTGAGTTTTCCACTGCAGATCTCACCCCGCTGGCACCAAGTCCCACAGCCCATGTAAACACGTGCATAATTTCCAGCATCTGAATAGCTCTATTAAAGTCCACTGGGCATTCACACACATTTAAGTACATTGTTGGATCAGGGCCTAAAGTTACTCATGTCTTTTATTTATAAATGTTACCCTGGTCTGTAAAAGTGACATGTTTCTCTTAACAGGCTGCGATACCAGTTATGCTCAGCTCATAGGTAAACATGCCTAAGTGCTCTACCACTGAACCTAGCAATGGAGTGGGGGGAGTGTGGAGTTAGCATAGCTTGAAGCAAACTTTCTACCTTGCTGACGCTGGACTGCATTGCAAGTTTCAATGTGAGGACTGATTTCACTGTCATTATTCATGCTTAGGGTTAAGCACATGCTTAACTACTCTGCTAGATCACAGTCTTAGTGTTGCTTTAGTCGTTTAATACTGTTTACACAGAGATATCTGGATCCAGTCTTGAAGCCTGAGAAGTTCAGTTCATTTCTGCTCAGCTCCAGTCTGACCTGAACTGGAAAACGTCATTCTGCAGAGATGTTCAGACCCGCCACATTCTATCCTCTCCATCACAGAGAGCACTGGATCACAGAATAATCCAGGTTGGAAGGGACCTAAGGAGGTGTCTAGTCCAAACTTCCACTCAAAGCAGGGACAGACATGAGGTCAGCTGAGGTTCATCAGGACTTTATTCAGCTAGGTTTTGAAAGCCTCCAGTGATGGAGAATTGTACAACCTCACTAGGCAACCTGTTCCAATGCCTGACTGTCCTCACAGGGCAAGAGTTTTTCCTTATAGCCAGTCTGAACTTCTTTTTTTTCCATTTATGGCCACTGTTTCTTGTCCTCCTGCCTCACACACTGTGCAGAACTCAGCTCCATCTTCTTAATGATCTTTTTGTAGGAACTGGCAGGCTGATATTTGGTCTCCCTGAAGCTGTCTCTTCTGGCTGAACATGCCCCATTCCCTTAGTCTCTCTTCACAGGGCATGTGCTCCAGTTCCTTCACCACCTTGGAGGTCATCCAACTCACTCTATGTCATTTCCTGCATTGGGAGTTCAAGACTGCATGCATATGGTCTAATGACTGCTGCATAAAGGGGGATAATCACTTCCCTTGATCAACTAGCTATGCTTTTGCTAATACAGCCCAAGATACTATACTAGTGGCCTCCTTTGCTTCTAGAACATACTGCTGGTTCATGTTCAGTTGCTGTCTACTAAAACCCTATCAGCAGGGCAGCTCCCTGGCCAGCCACTGCCCAGCCTGTGTTGTTGCTGCCAAAGGTTCTTCCTTTCCAGGTGCGGGACTTGGCATTTGCCTTTGAATTTCAGTGAATTTGAATTCCACTAGGTTCCCACTGTCTCTTTCCTCTAGACTATTTAGGTGCCTCTGGATGGCATCCTGACCTAGAAGTTGTGGACAAGCCCTGCCAGTTGGCCACAATCTGCAATGTGATGAGCAAGCAGTCCTTCACTTCCTCCAGGTTATTGATAAAGATTTTAAACAGGATAGGACAGACCCTTGCGGTACTCCACTGACCTCGAGATCTGACCATGACTTTCTGAGCAAAACCACCCAACTACTTTTTACCCATCTGATTGTCCACTGTCCTGGTTTCAGCTGGGATAGAGTTAATTTTCTTCCTAGTAGCTGGTGTAGTGCTGTGTTTTGCATTTAGTAGGAGAAGAATGTTGATAACATACTGATGTTTTAGTTGTTGCTAAGTAGTGTTTATGCTGGTCAAGGACTTTTTAACTTCCCACGCTCTGCCAGGTGCACAAGAAGCTGGGAGGAAGCATAGCCGGGACAGCTGACCCAAACTGACCAAAGGGCTATTCCATACCATATGACGTCATGCGCAGTATATAAACTGGGGGGAGCTGGCCAGGGGGCAGCGATCGCTGCCTGGGAACTGGCTGGGTATTGGTCGGTGGGTGGTGAGCGATTGCACTGTGCATCACTTATTTTGCATATTATTATTACTACTATTATTATTTTTTTTTTCCCCTTCCTTTTCTGTCCTATTAAACAGTCTTTATCTCAACCCACGAATTTTACTTTTTTTTTTTTCCGATGCTCTCCCCCATCCCACTGGGCAGGGGGAGAGGGAGCGAATGGCTGTGTTTAGCTGCCTGCTGGGTTAAACCACAACATCCACCCACCCAGACTGTGACATCCTAGCATACTGTGAAGTTTCTTGGATGTGTACTCACAGCGCACAAGCCACCCCACAGTATCTGTCCTTATGTACTTTTACTCCATGACAATAACCATGAAGTAACAGACATACTGCAGGTTCACATGAAGGCTGGACTCAGTAGCTTTTCCATAGAGTCAAACTAATTTGGGTATACTTGCAATAAGCTTGAAAGCTCTTTAATGAAGTTTTAATGATTCAGGTAATGAAAAACCTGGCAGAGGGGATCTTTAGTCTGATAGGAACATTTTACGAAGCTTGTTGGCTGGGAATCAAAATTCAAATAAAATTCAGACACGAAATAAAATTTAGTTTTACAAGAGTGAAGCAATTAGGGCTGGAAACAGCTTAATGACGGACTGTTGGATTCTCAGTCATTTGCAGCCCTTAAACCAAGATATTTCTGTCTTCATAAATATAAACTGTGACCCAGTCATAAGTTACAAGCATGATGCAGGAACTTTTACATGAAATTGTAAGCTAGATGTTCCTAATGGTATCCTCTAGCCTTAAAATGATCTATTAGATGAACAGTTACATTGTAGGAAATCCTCTCAGTTTCTAAGATGTTGTGTTTATTTTCAAAACAAATGAAAGAATAACATTTTCACAGACTTCTTGAGATTACATTGTCATGTAATTAACTTCCCTTCCTTTCCATCTTTCCTTCCTTTCCATCATTCATAGCTACCTACCATTAGGGATAGGAGTATTTATCTTCCATATTTCATTTTAGATAGCTGCAGATATTGCTATATGTGAAAAGCCACATCAAAATACTAAGATGACATGGAAATGCTTTTTCTCTTTACAGGACTCATGAATTCTAGCATCTTGAGCAGAGTTCTCACTGGGGTCTGTATAGTTTCACACTATCAGGTAAGATAATCCACTCATCTAAATGGATCTTTCAATGAGGAAGGAGCCCTCAAGAATTCCCTGTGAACAGCTGTTTAACAGGTTGCACAGACACATACTTTCCATCTTAAATTCCTCCAATTCTAACACTGAGTGGAGGCTGAATAATTCTGCTTAAAAAGTGACATGCTAATGTAATGTAAGTCAAATCTACTTTTTAGCTATATTGTCCTGGGGAAATTTTGTTTCTTACTCAGGGTCAAATTTTCATACGAAACAAACATTCATTTTCTGCCTCTAAAAAAAAATATGTCTTGGCATCCTGTACCAGAGGCTTTCGCTGAAATTTGGCTATAAACAAATATTTTTGAAGCATTTTCCTCCCAGATTACAAAGAGTAGGTTAGACAGCCTGCTGCAGAGATGTGGATTACAGGCACTCTTGAAAAAAAATTTAAAAATCATTACCTTTCAATCACTTGTCCAAAACAATACATGTGACAAGGCTAAGGACACACTGAATGACAACAAAACAGGTATCAGGCAACAGAAAGTAAGGCCTGTCAGCTCTGCTAGTTCTGCGTTTGCCCTTCCAAGTTCCTAACAGGTCAATGCATGTTTTACTTAAACGGTGAGAAGAAAAGGAACCGTCAGCCAGAAATCAAACTTTCTTTCACTCTTGTGGTCTTTCCCTTGCCCCCCTCTAACAATCTGTAGAGTATTTAGGTAAAATAACAGGGTACTGAATTAGAGGGAGCTGACACAGAGAGTACCAAACGGTTTACCTAGCACTGTAGACTCTCTAGCCGGGCTTCTCAAAACTGCTACTTATTGTCCTTAATGTGTCTGCACTCTACCATCTAACATGATACGTCTTTCCGGAGCACGGTCACACACGCACACAGACGCTCCTGCCCACCAGCTACTCACCCAGGGGAAGCTTTTCCAGCAGATAAAGGTAACTCTGAAAGAAGTCATTTTGGATCGCCTTATGCAAGACAAAGGACATACTGTGCCGACAGAGTTCTTCATCTGTCTTGTGCCAGCGCGACTTAAAGGCCAAATGTGCTGCTTTATACGCCATGATGAAGATGTTTTTTGCAAGGGTGGACAGTTGCTGTGGCTGGTGCTCTCTGGAGGACCTCTCCTTCTGAAGAGGCAGAGGCAGTGTCACTTAAATTGTGGCAATGTGCTGTCATTCTATATCGGGGTGTGTATCTAGAGCAGTGCAGGGGGCGGAGGCGGGTAAGAAGGGAGTGAGAAATGCTGGCTGTTGGCACTGGCTCAGAGTAATCTCTGGAGTGTCGCCCTCTGAAAAGAGCAGGTGCTGGAAAGTGATTAAAAACTCAACCAGGAAATTGCTTAGCCAGGGTAAAAGTATATCTACTCCAAAAGAGAGCGGCTTTAATTCAATTACACTTTTCCTAATCTATTCAACCTTCACTTCAAAGGAACTTGGATATTATCCAGGATCTCCTTTCTCCCTCTTTTATATCTCATAGGGTGATTTTGTTTCTCTGTCTTTCCCTCGCTATTTGTTTTTCAGTCTGAGGCACCCAAGAGGAAGGCCAGAAGACAGAACATGGACATGCTTCTACACAAACCGTGTGTCCTAATAAACTGTGATTCTAGCAAGCAAAGAGAAAGCAACAGATTAACTTCATGCTTTGCCACTGTGTATGGCAGGTAGAAAGCCACTCTCTATGCACTACAATCTGCCCGGGTTCATTTAATCCATTTAAATGGTACAGACTATCTCATCAGCAGAGGCTAGCTGGAAGAAACTGCTGTCTGGGAACACAGGAATGGTAAAGCCAGGGAAGGGTAAGAGCTTTTTGCTTTAGCTAACAAAATACACAGAAGAACAAAAGGAGATAAACTGCTCATTAACAAACTTAGACAAATACAATGGCTGGAAAAAAGAAGGAGGTTCAGGCCACTGCAGTGGGCAAAATTCTAGAAGGGGGAGGGGGAGTAGGGTGAGAAGCTGAAGTGCTTCTAGGATGGAGAATGCTAAGCTGCTGAAGGGGGCTGTATATAAGTATGTCCCATCCCAGAGGAGGATCAGGCCCTCAAGAGACAAGGAGAGACAGGTACTGCTTCAAAACCTTGTTTGCCCCTTGGTACTTCAGGTACTTGATGCAGTACAGCTTCAAGCCTCCTGAATTGTAAAGGTACCCGGCAAGGGGATGGGGCCTTTGTAGTGACTGCACTGACCTCCACACACTGTGCCCATGAGGGTTTCCCCTTTTCAAGCTGTTTATTTCAGCTGTCTGCAGTATAAGCACACTATAATGCAGCAACACACGATCAGAAAGTTGGATATTTTCAATACAAAAGGGCTGCCATATGTCCTGAGCAGTACTGCAACTCCCGACAAACATCTGATCAAGCTTTTGAGAGCACAAGACAACCTAGCCTCCACCAAGGAAAATCGCTAGTAATTTGGCTACAGATGATGCTAAGCAGCATTTAGCAATGCATCATTTTAAGCATATTTTCCAACATGACTCAATTCCTTGGAGCAGTCAATCTCTGTATCTCTGCTTTGATATTACTTATTAGAAGTATTTAGGGGCAAAACCATCCCTGGGTATTAGTGCCTTTCTTGTTTCCCCAACTACCATTCTGTACTACTCATTCTCACCTAATTGTATTGGCATGCTGCTCCCCAAGCTGTTCCAGTCTACATGATTGTACAAATGTGTTGGTGAACAGATCAGTGAACAAATCTTATTCAGAAAAATATACTTATTTTTCTTTCAAGTGGGATCAGTTCCCCAATCCAGCCCGCAGCTGACACAAGGGAATTTGTCATGTGCTACAATACAGGGGCTGGAACAGCCATTTGGGATGGTGGTGCGGAGGAGGTAGCCATACAGCCACAATACGCAGCAGCCTTACCAATAATGCAGATCTCCTCCCTGTATCCTGTCAGAGAAGTGTGCTGGAGGTGGTTCCATGACAGCCAAAGGTAATCTAAGTACGGGAAGATACGTTTCTGTGTTTCTGTGCCTCCGCCCCTCCCTGCGCACGCATGCCTGCTGTTGGGGTCTCTGCTGAGCCATTTCAGCTTGCTACATCAGTTGGCTTTTTCTGTCTGGTCATCACTGTGACCCAGCTCAGTGCAAAACTTACCATTGCCAGAAAACTGCAAGAATGGAGGCAGAAGTGTGCAGCTGAGGATGGGGTGGGGAGAGTGGGATCATGGCAGTGATCTAACGATCAGCTCTGATGCCACTGCACCAAAGTCTGAGTCCTTCCTTGAACAGAGGGCGATGTTCTTCACGCAGCCTTAGAAATTTCAGCCATCCCTTGAAATAACTCAGTCTCAAATTTCTTCCTGGTTATGCATCTATCAGAGAAGCACCGGGGTCTCTTCAACTAATTTTGAAATATCTGGGCCCAGACAAAATCCTGGTATATCTCTCGGTTTTCTCACAAATCTGGCCCCTTCTCTTTGCTTATGTATTTTCAGCCACTCGCCAGTTAGTGCACCAGGAATGGATGCATCAAGAGAGTATCTTAATGCCTTGGAAAGACGTTGCACAAGCTCTTTTTGTCACCAACAAAAGACACCCCTAGGAACCTAGAGCCCACCTGTTCCGCAATTGACACCACATTTCACGTTTGTCACGGCTTTAGTTTTGGCAATGCCCATTGTGTAGCAAAGTGACCCCTCTGCTTAGAGACAGCAATGACTCCAAGCATGAAACCTAAGCCTGGACATGTCCTAGTGGAGTCAAACCCTGGGACAGCACTGTGGAGGGTGCTGGGACCATAGCTCTAGGGCTCCTCATAGCTTTGACACTCATGAGGTCCACAGGGGCCTGGGCTTTTACATTCACTAGGAGGATGGTGAATTGCAAAGGCAGAAAAGGGCACTGTTTCTCCAGCCTTCTGTGCACAAGTGGGGCTTAACTCTCTCTTTGGAACAGCACATTTGGGTTCCCTGGTGCCTACAAAGTGCCCCAGCAACTGTGACTCCAGTGAAGCTCCCTTGATTTACACCCTCTGAGAATATGGCCAATTATGACAGTGAATACATACACATGGGAAACAGGGCATATTTCAGAGTCAATCCCTATCATTTTAATGCCCTGCTAGGGATCTTCTCATAACACACTCCTAGCCCACTTTCCTTAGGAAAAAAGATACGTGCCATCATGTTGTGTATGTCTCTGTCTATGACTTTTACTACCCCTTCACCAAACAACATTTAAACCTATCTCAAACAAATCCCAGAACTACTTCAAAGCTTGCATCGAAACAGTAGATGGGATAGACAGATCATCCTCATGTCACTCACCACAGTGAGTTTTGCTTTTCTGAGATGCTGTAAAAACTATAAGCAGGATGGGCACAGGCACATCTGCACCTCTCTTTCCAACCTACCATTCTCAACCATCCAACACAAATCTGTCAGAAACAACAGTTCACAGGATTAGGTTTTCAGGCTGAATGCTGGTTATAACTCTTTTTGATAAATTGGTGGTGGTTTTGACTCACAGTAGTCCCGCCACACACAAAAAGAGTGAAGATCTACAGAAGGCTGCATAAACACCAATTCTATTTATTCTATTTGTATGTGATCAAGACTAAGTCCCTGTTCCAAACAGCTCTACAATCTAAGAGTTACTGTGAACACACACTCAGTCCTCAGATAGTAGTGCAGCTAAGTAGATGAATCACAACAGAATCAAGCCTTTTAAAGCACTTTCAAAGCACTTCTTATTGCTCTCAAAGGCTAGGCAGAAACACAGATTTATGCCCAGAAATGCCTGAAAAAGGCCACAGAAAGTGCAGGAGGTTTTTTGGTTTGTTTTTTTTTGTTGTTGTTGTTGTTTTGGTTTTGTTTTTTTTTTTTTCCTAAAAAGTGGATGCTATATTCTCTGCCTGTTTGTCAACAGCAGCATCTCAATGTCTCCTGCTAAGAACAACTCACAACTCTGCTTGCTTTATGGTATCTCCTAAGCCCATATTCTGAGCAGGATCTACCCAGAAGCTGCAAACAATTAATCCACTAATATATACCCTACATCTCCACTAACAAGAAGAGTAGGACTTGAGTATGGGCACAATGGCACCCATAGTACTCGTAGGGTCACTGCTGAAATGTGAGTAAACCCACTTTTCAACTTTAGTTTCCTTTCCCAAATGGCCGTTTGACTCTTTTTGAAGATGAGGCAGAAAGCCAGCCTTTTTGTTGCTAGCAGGGACACTGGAGAATCTGGACCTCTGGATAAATTGAAGCCCTACACTAAAATAACAGTAGACACAGCCATAATGCATGACAGTCATTGCCTCAAACAGCTTCTGGTCTAAAATAAGAATGTGTTTGTATTTCAGTGGGTAAACAAATAGCTCCTCCATTTGTCTTCCTCTTCCTCCCCATGAGATCAGGCAGTTCTAGGACATCGCGTTCACCACAGATTAAAATGAAGGATCAGCTAGAGCGGCTTCTTGTTAAAATACCTGCAGCTGATCTCTGCTTGAGGGTAGCAGGTTTAAAATAAGGTATCAGATGGCTTATGATGAGTCACTGCAAGATCCAAGGAAGATCTGTGTGTTGGAGCATCAGGGTATTTAAAGACAAGTTGGACTTACCTTTATATTAGTAGGTAACTACCTGTCTCTGCTGATCTGAGCTGTACACGCTACTTCTGAAACACATCAGCGGCACAGAAGAGAAAAAGAAAAACATGTGCACTAGCTCCACATATCATGCAGGTCACAAAGGGTCAATTTTGCCTTTAAATTACTGTGTTCTGCTTACAAAACACCTGGTATGCAATCTGATTTCCACACGGACAAGCCATCAGGATTGCTGTAAGATGTCTCTTTATCTTAAAAAGGCCTCTATATTAATTCTTCTCCCTCACACTCACGGCTGGCATGTGCTGTCAGGAATAGATGTGGTTAAAGCAAGTAATTTTTGTTTTATCTTTGACAACAAGTTTTTAAAAGTTCCTGAAAACCACAGGATCATGTTGATAGAAGAGGCACAGGCAGAGAGCACACGTGCAGTTATGAGGGCAGTGAAGAACAGCTGCAGGTTGGATGGCAGGTGGTAACCTTTACAACTGGCTTTGCTGCAGCCACAAAAGCAACTGCCTGTATTGTTCTGACTGCAGCTTTGGTGGCTTATTGAGAGCAACAGTGTATGCC